TGTAGCTCTATATGTGTGCCTGTGTGTGTCTACCTGTGGTAGACACACACAGCATGTCTGTTTCAGCTTATGTAGGCAAGGGTCAGAGTTTGAATATGCATCAAGATGTTCACCTGGAACTTGTCTGTGAATCAAGATGTCATTCAGAGAGAGGTATCTGAGTGCATGACCTTCTGGGTCTGCTCATATATTAAGGCAGTTATTTTTAGCTGTGTCCGTAGGTGCCTGTTGGTGAAACCAATGTTTATACTGTTCATCCTAGTGGGTTTGTGTCTGTCCCTGTTTATCTCTGCACTTAGCTACCTATCTAAATAACCTCAAAAAACAAATATTCTCCTGTTTACGTCACCTCCTCAGCTCTTTCCTCTCCTCCACCATCCTTTCCTATTTATAGCTTATTTTCAGCAAGGAAAGCTGCTCTTGTGAATAGCAAACCCTAGCCGTGCTATTGATTGACAAGCCTCTACAGATGGATAAAGATTTTAGCAGGACCGTGATACAACCCAAGATCTCCTGGCCCCTCTTCTCTTGTTTCCTTTTTAACTAGGGGAACAGGAGATAGTAAAAATATAGGCCGGCTATTCCTTCTAATGAAAGCAACATCCAGGATTTGGGTTTGCAGGACTTCAGAGCTGGAAGAGCACGTGGAGACCATCTAGCTTAGATTCTCCCGTTTAACAGGTTGAGAAACTGAGGCCCAGAGAAGGGAAGGGTCTTTCCCAGTGTCACTCCCTGTGAGTGAGGACTCACCTCTGCTTGTGCTATTTCCACACTGAAGGATACAACATTCTTGGGACTCAAAAAAGTGCCCACATCAAAATGAATTTAAACAATGCATTTTTAATATGCCTCCCCGCACTTTTAGTAAAGGGAAGCTATATACAACTCGCAAGATGGAGCTGCCAGAGAAAAAAACTATAAACGATTTCACCAACTCTTTGGATGCCATAATCCATCGGTCATAAAAACCCATTGCATTAGGTGGGAGGGCCACCATTCAGTAAACGCTTCCCCTGTGCATTGTCCCATTTTGCCCATATAATTTTCCTTTGAGGTGGCTGCTGTTACTACTCTTTAACCAAGGAGGAAACCTATCAGAAAGGAGAAGTGATTAGTTCAAGGTCAGACGGCACCTCTGAGGCAGAGGTGGAACTAAAACTCGGGTTTTTCAACACCATGTCTGGGAAGCTTATTACAGTCCCACAGCTGTCCAGAGGGTCCTTGGATATCATTAGGGCAGGGCCTAGAGTCTGTTTTTCTGGTATTTGGGGACACAGTGGGGTGGGGGACATTCAAAATGAGCCTGATATACTCTTGAGTGTTCCCAGCATCCCCTCCCAGCCAGCAGGCGGGGACCCTGGAAAAAAAGGTTACCGTGGCAACTCGCATTCCTCCTAGAGTGAGTCATGGCAAAGAAGAGCCTTCGGTGGGTGGGACTTGGAGAAAGTTTCAAAAGTTGATTCCTTCCCCAGGCATCCCCCTTTCACCCCTCCCTCCCTTTGCTCCAGGCTTTGTCGATGTGGCAGCTGATGGCTGCGGGAGTTAACTCTATCTTCCCCCGACCACTCCCATTTCAAAAATTTTCACCCTCCTGCACATAAATATTTGCTTACTTCCAGTCCCTACACACTCTTCCTCTCACATCATGCCTTCTGACTATTTTGGAGGTCATGCATCCATTTGAGAATATCTTAAGACTAAAGGCTGTGAACACCCTCTTGTGCTCTCTGTTTGTCTCTAATACACACACACACACACACACACACACACTACTGTATACACAATTTTAAGGGGCTTGTAGATGCCTTGAAGCCCATTCGAAGGCCAGTCCATAGATCCCAGTTTAAGAGACCTTCCTTTGAAAGTTTCAGAGGACGTCAGACACCCCAGAGACTGCCAAGTCCACTCTTCTTACTTTACTGATAGGGAAACTAAGTCCAGAGGAGACACTTACCTAAGACCACACATAAATGTGAGCCTAAAGTCTGCCATTCTGCTTCTGATTTGCTTCTGATTCTCACTCTACCATCAAGGCTGGGGTGCATAGAAATTTAACCTTAGAGAATGGCTGGTGAAAACATTTTCTGCACGTTCCGTATAGAACGATGTCCTTTCCTGAGGAAAATGGGCACCTCTCTGTTCCCTTTTGGGCAGACTGGGCTGCTTGGAAGACATGCCTCATTCCAGCACCCCTCTCCCTTGGTGTCCTGCAGGTCTTGGGATGTCCACTTATCAACTGACCAATGGAGCCCAAAAGGATAAAGATAGGGAGAGGTTCATCTGAAGAAGACCTAACACCCTAAAAGGCTAGACACCAGTCCTGTGTAGGGTTTGGGCTTCTCAAAACAAGGAGGTGTGAAAAAAGCTGTCCTGGAACCCTCTCTGCCTTGCCTTCCCCTTCCCCACTTCTCAGCACATCCTCCCAGCACCCAGCTTCCCATGAGACCCAGCACCCTGGCTGGAGGATACCAGATGTCTGGGGTCTTCAGATCTAAACACACTAAGGGCTACTGCTGGTGAGTTCCTGTGTTGGCATTCCTCGGGGCCCAGGGAGGGAACAATGCCTAACCCAAGACAGACTGGTTGTGCCTCAGGAATCTGTGTGTATGTTTGGGGACAATTTGAGGGAAACAGGAGCCTTCCCAGACGTGCTAATTAAAGATGAAGATCCCTTTTGCCTTCCAGAGATGAATTTATCATGCATACTAAGTCCCTTTTGGAAAAGAGCCCCTGACCAAGAACCAAATCTAAGAAGTTTCTTCTCCTACAGTAGGGAGCGGGGCAGACACTGGCTGTAAGCCGGTGCTTGTTGCAGCTGTGACCAGATCAGATTCCCGGGAAAGGAGGAGGCGGCCACATTTGCAAAGGTAGCAAAGAGGACAGGCAGGCAGCCTCTGAAACCAAAGACAGACACAGAAAGAGAATACTCCCTCCAAGACATATGGAGATTATTTTCTGCAAACCTAAAAGGGAGACCAAGTTATACTGACTGTACCTGAAAAGCAACAGACAGGGAGGGAGTCGGGGGCCCCTGCCCTCAAGGGGACAAGCAGTGAAGCCCAAAGGAGAAGCACAACCCCTGTCTCTGATTCCAGACCTCCTAGCACAGCTTCCCCTCCCTTGTACACTCGCTGGATGGGTGAATAGGGTGCAGGGGTTGATGCGGGCCGGAGAAGAGAAGGCAGGGCAGGGGTCGTGCATACCTCAGTGGCAGGCAGGCAGCAGGCTGAGCTCTCTCCGGCGGTCTGAAGGTCCGCGGGAATGTGGAGGGGTTTAGAGCCAGGCAACAGGAAACCACTCAGAACTCTGGGCTGGATCTGTCTCCCCCTCCACCCTATGGTCCCTCCTCCTCCTCTGTCTCCTCCTTCCCCACCTCCCCCCACCCCCCGCCCAGATCTGTCTCTGTCTTCCATTTCTCTCCTCCTCTCTCCTTGTGGTGGGCTATCCTGACCAGACTCCCCAACCCCCTCTGCCTCATGGGTTCTGGGGCCACTGCCTAAACAGACTCATGGAGTGCCAGGGCTGGAAGGGCTGGCAGGAATCACCTAGGACAACCTCCTGCTTTTTCAGGAGGGAACTAGGGCCTGGAGGGGACAAGGGATTACTCAAGGGGCCCCAGGGCAGAGCCAGGCCCACATGTCTTAACTTTATGACCAGTGATCTTTACTAGAGCCCTCTCTAACATTAGGCAATGCTGAGAAGGGCAAAGCAGTTCAAAGGGGTTGTATCTGTGACTAAGGCAAGGCCAGGACTCGCCTCTGTACAGACAAGAGAAGCTGCCACTGGTGGCATCATTGCTGATGATTTGGGATATGGTCTAAAAATAACCACTCTAACTCTTGCTGCACCACTAATAGGCGCATAAGAGATTAGCTTTCTAGCTGGGGGATCTGTGTCATCAGTATAGAACTGATAAGGTGGTCCATGATATTGATACTAATTACAGAAGTAACAGTAGCCAAGTTCACAGCAACCCTTGACTTAGGTATTGTTACTGTGCTCATTTTACTAATAAGAAACAGAGGCTCAAAGAAGATAAGCCACCTGCCCAAGACCACCTGGGTAAGAGTGGTGTAGGCGGGCCAATTCTACATTCAACTTGGTTCATACTTGTGCTACACGATCTTCTTGGTGCAACAGGTCTTGCTTGAATATTTATTGCATGCTTGGCGCTCCCGGCGGTATGAGAATTAGTATCTGGTCCTCGTCCTCAAGCAGCTTTGGATCTTCCTGCGAGGATATGCCTTATGGATACGTGAGTGGTACAGATTCTGAGGCTGATCTCAGGGAGTCAGAGTGGCGGGAACGCTGGGTTGGAACAGGCAGAGAAGGCTTCCTGAACGATGTAGATCTTGAAGAATTTGGGTTTAAATAATATGGAAAGGGAGAAGGCAGAGAACTTGGGAAAGAGACCAGGTAGGCTCTGTTGATTTGGTTTCTGGCAAGGAGGAAAGTAACCAAGCAGAAAGTTAAATGAATAAAACCAGTGCCAGAACCATCCCCTAAGGCCTTATATCGGAAACAGTGTCAGGGTCTCAGTGGTTCTCCTCTCCAGGCCATCAGTGTTGAGTGGGCCTTGACAAATTTCGCATGTGGGAACTTGAGAGCCTGTAGGGGACCAGGTCCTGTTGGAACAATTATAACTAAGCTGGGAAGAGAGATAGTACTATCCAGTATTACTGAGCAGACGTTGGGCAAAATATATTACATCCATTATCTCATTTAATCTTCATTTAATATACATACTTAGGTAGTCTGTTAGTTTCCCTAAATTATAGCAACATAGTAAATATAACATTTATAATAAATTATAATAAATAATGAATTACCACAAACTTGGTGACTTAAAACACATATATTACTTTAGTTCTGGAGGTCAGAAGTCCTAAAAGCAAGGTGTTGACAGGGCTGTGATTCTTCTGGAGGCCTGAGGGAAAAATCTGTTTTCCTTACCTTTTTCAACTTCCAGAGGCCACCTGCATGCCTTGGCTCATGGCCCATCCTCCATCTTCTAAGCATGAAACTACAGTCTCTGCTTCTGTATCACATTACCTTGTTCACTTTGATCCTCTTAACTCCCTTTATACTCTTCTGATTGCATTGGGCGCATCCGGATAATCTGGGATAATCTTCCCATCTCAGAATTCTTAATCTGCAAAGTCCCCTTTGCCATGTACGGTAGCATATTTACACTCAGTTATAGGGATCAGGACATGGATATCTTTGGGAGGCCATGTTTTTGTCTACCATAGCTGGGTACAATTACCATTCCCATTTTAAAAATGATGATACACGTGTTCACAGAATTAAATAACTTGCTCGAAGTCCCATAGTCATGAAGCCAGAACCCACAGAAGTAGCTCAAATCCAGACCGCTGCCCCCACTCTCCATTGCTTCCTTGTCCATGCCTCTGTTTATGCCGTACTCTAGATGAGCCTGCATCCTTCTGCCATCTGCCCCAACCCCACCCATCCTTCAAGCTCAGGCTGAATCTCTCCTATTCCTTCAAAGCTTGGAGCTATTAGGGTCTTTAGGCCAAACCCGATCCTACGCCTTTCTTGTACGGCTGGGAGAATTGAGGATCATAGAGTCCAAGGTCAGCGTGGACAGCTAGGCCTAGAGCCCTGGCCTCCCAACTCCAGGCCCAGAATGAAGCCAGTTCTGGCTGCCCCGAACCTCTAGGGGAAGGGACTAGACAGGTTGATCCCTTTGGGCTGAGATTATGTATCAAAACTCTGATACCTGGCTTAAAGTCAAGGTTGCCAAGCTAAGAAGGCCTGGGCGCATGGAGACTGACTCAGCCTGTCCTCTTGTTACTGTATCTTTCCCCCGACAGGCCCTCCCATTGGCTGAAGATCACAAAGACCTCATTGTCATCTGGCCTTTTGTCCCCTGGGCAGAGTGGCCGCTGACCAGGACAAGGCCAGCCAGAGAAGAGGATGAAATTTCACTTCGGCACCCCTCCCCACTCACATCACTCCCACTGAGCAACTGAGCAGCTTCAGATCTTTCCCTCAGCAATTTACGGTTCACAAAGGACTTTTATACCCATAATCTTATTGGGTAGCACAGTTGGTCTATAAGGTGGAGAAGTCAGGATTCACTAAGCACATTTTGGGCTTGAGTAGACAGAGGGTCCCTCAGGGATTTGTCTAAGGTCACCCAGCTGGCCCATGTAGAGCCTAAATGAAAACTCCAAACTCAGCATTTGGTCCAAGACTCTTCCCACTATTTTAGCTGCCTCCATCCGGGTTCCAGTGAGAGTTTGCCTTCTCCTCACAGAAACCCCCTCTTCACTGAGGTGACAAATGGTTTACAACGTGTTGGCTGCACTTTCTCATATTGACACAAACACACCCAAAGGGAAGCGTTAATTTGAGTTCTAAGTTGGGTTGGGCCCTCAGCAGGACCTGTGCCCTTGGGCCCTGCCTGTAGTCTGTCTTTGAGTGGCTACCTCTCCTCCCCACCTCTATTTCAGGGCTCATAAAATGAGCATGATTATAATACTTGGCCCTCCTGAGTACAAAGTCAGTATAAGCCTCAAGCGAGTATGGGGTTTTTTGTTTGTTTGTTTGTTTGCAGCTTTATTTAGATGTAATTGACACCACATTGTATGAGTTTCAGGTGCAGACATGATGATCGGATACACGCATATATATTAGAAAATGATTACCACAAGTTAGTTAACACCTTCATTACCTCACATAATTATGTTTGTGTGTGTGTGTGTGTGTGTGTGTGTGGTGAGAATATTTAAAATCCACTCTCTTAGCAACTTTCAAATATATAAGATAATATGGTTAACTATAATCAAGCTGTACATTAGATCCCCAAAACATACTCATCTTATACCTGGAAGTTTGTACCCTTTGACCAATGACCAACATTTCCCCATTTCCTCCACCCTCCTGCCCCTGGCAACCACTAATCTACTTTCTATTTCTGTGAATTTGGCTTTTTTTAGATTCTACCCATTAGTGATATACAGAATTTGTCTTTCTCTGTCTGATGTATTTCATTTAGCATAATCACCATGTCACAAATGGCAAGATTTTCTTTTTACTTATGACTGAATAATATTCCACTATATATATCACATTTTTTTATCCATTCATACACGGATAGACATCACCATTGCTTCGACCTTTGACTATTTTGAATAATACTGCAATGAACACAAAAGTACAGATATCTCTTCGAGATAGTAATTTCATTTCCTTCAGATATATATCCCCAGAACTGGGATTGTTAGATCATACTGTGGTTCTATTTTCTTTTTAGTTAGTTTTTTTTAAAAAATTCGTTTCAAGTATACACTATATTGCTTAGACATTTATATAGTTTATAAAATCATCTCCCTCATTGAGCATGGGTTTTAAAGAGATGGTAAACACAAGAGCAAAGTTAAAGGGCTCAGTTTTGGAGTCAGATCTCTGGGTGTGGGTCCCTCAGGGAGTTTTTTTTAACTCTGGAAATCATAATGCATCTTATTTAACCTCCACCCTCAGTTTCCTCAAGTGTAGAGGGTAATCTCCCACTTCAGGTTCTTGAGATTAAACGAGATCACGTATTTAATGCATTCGGCTCACTGTTGCATATTGTGATATAAGCTATCAATAAATGTTAGCTACCTTATCATTAGATTGTTGAATCATTCAACATTTTTCAAAGTGTATTCCACCAAATATTAGTCCTCAGAGTAAAAGGGGAACCCTGGGTTCAAGTGGGTTTGGGTAATGTGGCATTGGTCACCCTCTTCATGATATGCTGGAGGCACATGAGAGCATTAAAGGCTCTGAAAAGTCTCTCAGAAAAGAAACCTGTTTCACTCCATTTAACCATTACAGAGCTCTTTTTCACGAACTTCTGAATGTGTCCCACGGAACTTGTGTTCCATGGAAAACTCTTTGGGAAGGTGAAGTGACTTGTCCTAGCTTACCTGGGCAGTTAATGGCAGAGCTGGGACTTGACTCAAGCAAATGAATTCTTTGGCCTATTAAAGCATACTGAGAAAATACCTTCTCTTTTGCTGCTGATGTGGACAAGGACTCTCTAAATGTTAAAGATTTTATTATAGGTTTCATAACCTTTAGCCTTTCTCTGGGGTTCTGTATCCCTGGCTGAGGGCGCAGGGCTCCCTCTGGCTTGAGCTCTCTCTGAGCTGCCCGGGGCAGGGTTAGAGCAGCTCGACTGTTGATTGGTTCTGTCTCCTCCCATCCCTGTCTCTATAATATTGCAGCTGCTGGTCCAGGTCCAGGGAACACTCACATGCAGGCACCAATTCTCTTCTGAAACCCCACACGCCTGGATATCTTTTCTGAAGGAGGAGGAAAGCCCAATAAGCCA